TGGACTTGTGACTAGTACAGTCGCCAGTGGGGGTCCCTTACTTGGTGCAAAGCTCAACCATCAGTAACGCTTTCAGATACTTAACAATAAATTAAGGGCCGGAGTCTGCCTAGATCGTGTCCTACGGATTCTCAGCCTGACTTGTCTGTCATTGCTGGAGTGATTTCTCAAGCCCCTCAAACTTCCCAAAACTAAAAATCTGCACCTTTTTTTTGGGGGGGGGGGGAGACTAAAGAAGTAATCCATCAAGGGCAGAGTGAGAGGGAAATACATTTGGTTTCTTTCAAGGGAAAACTTAGAAAAGTATCAGGAAGGGTCCTGAAAGACTCTAACCCATTCCTAGGTCCTATGCTGACCACCAGGGGTTTCTTACAAAATCCCTACTTAGCACCTCTTCTCCTCTGTAGAAGCAACACAGAGCACAGGAGGGGGAAAAGGCAGGATTTAAAGGGCCCCGAGAGATGTCTCAGAGGACAAAGGTGATGCTGCCACACCTAGCCGCCCCCCCCAGCTCTATCCTTAGGAGCCACACAGTGGAAGAAGAGAACCAACTTCGCAGCTGTCCTCTGACCTCCACATGTATGTGCACACACGAAGAAAAGAATCCATTTAAAAAACTTCAAAAATGAGAATTTAAGCTCAGTTATGTTATAGTCTCGGCTAGAAATAAAATAAAACGAAATAGAAAGAGTTTTCGTTCACTAAAAGGCATTCATCGCCAAGCAAACGAATGGCATGTTTCCTCAACTCTGACCCATCTGAGAAGTTAGCATCTTCAGGTCTGGGCAGGGGTGTCAGAAGGAACAGGCGTGCCACAGAAACGTGTTGCGATGGTCCACTTTGCACGGGAAAGGAGTCTCAGGTAAGAGCCAACCCAATGGAGAGCACACCACTGTATCAGTAAATGAGCCTGTGCAGTTCTTCTAAACATGAATGCTTTTATTGTTTCTCTGGAGCAAGCAGTTCTGAATCTTGCACAAGGGGAAATAGATGCAGAGATAAGTGCAGGCCAGCATGACAGAGGCTGCCCAAGGCTGGCCCTTTAGGACAGAGAGCAGTGAAGCTTCCCTTGTAACCCACCATCCCTCCAGACCTCTGCATTTCCTGTCTTCTTCGGTTAACTCTGCTCCTGTCTCTCTTTCTGCATCTTCCTCTCCCTTCCCTCTGTCCCTCTCCCTTCCTGTTTGCCTCTCTGTCTCTCTGTCTCTCTCTCTCTCTCTCTCTCGCTTTCTCTCTCTCTCCTGATTAAACAGGGACAAACAGGTTTCGTTTCCCTGATTCAGACAGAAGGAGTCAACAAGTCACTAATGTTAGAAGAGGCATGGAAGACAGGAGAATAGGTCACAGGTTTCAGACGGCCAAGGAAGGACTCCATTGCACTGGGGATCAGGCAGGAAGCACAGACTCAAAGCTTCTGCAGCCCGCGAGAAACTCCCTGGGAAACCAGGAGCCTTTCTTTCCTCTTGCCACACAGAGGCCATTGCCACCAGGCTGGAACCTGGCTGGCTCCCGGGAAAAGCATCCAACAGCCCTGGGCAGTTGCTGCCTCCAGGTAAGCAGGCTGGCCAAATGTTCCTTAATACTGGCCCATTTCTAACTTGCAAGGCCCAGAGGAGGGCTTACTAGAGCCCAGGAGCACACAAGTCCCCAATGGGTGCCGCCAGGTCTTCCTTCAGCAAGCACCTTTCCCAGTGGGGCTCCAAGTCCTAGCCGGCTGAAGGAGCAGAAAGAGCTCCTTCAGCCCTAGCCCACTGGCTTTTCCAGAATTGTCTCAAGCTGAGCGAGTCTAGATTTATTAAATCAAAATGGAAAACGAGATGCTAGCCGGAAACCACAAACATTTGTCTTCTCAAGTTAGTCTGACAGTATGGCTACCAGAGAACGGCTAAGCACATGGCACAGAAAGCCTGCTGCAGGCAGGACGGTCGGTGTGTGTGTGGGGGGAATCTGCCTGCACTGTATTTCCACATGCTTTGAAACCTGCCCCCCACTCCCCAAGGGATTCAGAAACACCACACCAACTTTTGTATTTGTTTTCAAGGTAAATGCCCTTCCCCGTCTTGAAATGGCCTTGCGACCTCCCTGTATAATGATGCTCCACAAGGACCCTTGAGGGCCTGGTCTATAGCCAGAAATGGAAGAGCACAGGGACCTTTTAGGCGGCTGTGAGGTGTTTGAGAGGGACAATGTTATGTTTTCTGACACGGTGAGACCCTGCCTTGCCTTGCATTTTACTGGGCAGCTTGGCTCAGATTCCAGTACACAGCGAGCATCCAGTGCCTGTTTGTCAGGGAGACCTGTTTTATCATCTCCGTTTTACAGAAGAGAAGACTGAGGCCCTTAGCAGAGTCACAAAATAGGAGCAGCCAGCCCAAGGCTATATCCAACCAACAGCAGAGCTGAGCTCTGAAGTCACAGCCATCTGGTGACAAAATCTATCCTCTGCTATTACTGCTCCAAGAACTGTACATAAGATGCAGAGCGGACAATATCCGAATGT